CATCTCGACATTCCCACGCTCAGCCGCCAAATGCAGGGCCGTATTTCCGTCAGCCAGACGAGCGGTTAAGCGTGCGCCGTGATCAACAAGAGCGCGAGCAACATCGGGCGTAGAGTTCATGACAGCAAGATGCAGCGGTGATCGTCCAGTGTAATCACGCTGGTTCGGATCAGCGCCCTCCTGAGATAGCCAGTCCAGAACTTCATCGACGTTGCCATCGACGATGCTTTGGCAAAGACGAGCCGTGTTGCCGACGTACGCCATATCAGTCCAGTCATCCTGAGTCAGAGGGTTGAAGGAGCCGATCTGTTGCCGGCCAGGGTCGTCGATAAGGAAACTAACGGGGCCGGAAATGTAGATTTCTGCCTCTTTCTCGGCAATCTCGATCTCCTCAGGGGTCACCGCTTTCGGGCAAGTCCCACAGCAGTCTTCGATGACATCCTGAACACGTCCGAAGAAGGCGGGATGACGATGAAGATAGACTTGACGGTCCTTGTGTTGGTTCCACTCGGCATTCAAGAGAAGATCTTTGGTATAGCAGAGCTTCTCGATCTTCTTTGCGTTGAACCTCTCACCATATGGAACGCTGAAGGTGTGGTAATTAGAGACCTCGGTTTCGTCAACCCAATCGGCAATCTCGTCCTCATGTGCGTCCTTGATATTGCCCCAGACTCGGTGCTGGAAGTTGCGATTGATTGCGGGTCGACCACGCTCTTCACGGCGCTTGTCAAGGTAAGAGTCGCGAACGGAAGAGGTTGGCAGACGTTCAAGAACAAGCAGACGAGCAAGGCCTAGGGTTCTCTGAAAACTCCTTTCAAAGATGGTGGGATCCACGCGGCTTCGATCCAACTCAGGCCAATAAATCTCGAAATTGCGATGGCTGTACTTGGACAGACGATTCTCATATGACGGGCTTCGTCGGGTGAGGTCGATGTGGTTGATCTGGGTGATGAAGCTGCCCAAAGCGCGAGGCGTCACATAGACCTGCTTGCCATTGTACGCGCCACCGGCAGCATCAATGTCGAAGCCAGTGAGAATTTCGCCGATAGACTTGTACACGCGAAGAACAATCTACACGGGGTCAGGAAAATTACGCTGGGACGTCGTCAAGGGGAGTGGGCCAACCTGGACATGACGTGTCGGGTACTGAGAGGCAATCGTAATGGCGTACTTGGTCCGAACAACGGTGACTTCGGTCAAGATGGCATCACGGATAGCTTGCTCGATCTGCTTGATCTTTTCAATGGCCTCATCGTGGGTCAGGCCGTACAGGAACAGGTCAACGTCGGAAGCAGGACAGAACTTTTCGTGGTAGTACTCGCGCAGCTTGCGCTTGTTGGTGTTGAACTCGGGCGGTACGGGGAGCAGGGTATTGACAACAGAGGAGCCTGCGGCCACGACGTTGCTCCAGTCCATGTCGACCAGAGACGACTCCGAAAAGACGCTGAAGTTCTTGCGGAACTCTGCGATCGACTGAACCACAGCGGGAGATCCGTCTTCGCGGCGCTTGTCGTCAGGGAGTGACATGATATAGCGGCTCTTCTCCTCCTCTGACTCGGCAGAGAGGTTGCGAGCACGCGTCTTGATGTTCTTCGTGTTCTCATTAAACACGGGAAGGAGGTTCACATAGGGGTCATTGAGCAGGGTGCTGTTGCGATCTTGGGCAAAGACCGACCGTAGCTGAGCCTCATAGCGGCGATAGGGGTCCAAAATCTCGATCATGGACTTCTCGGGGTGGCCAGCAATGTAGTTGACCAGCTCCGAGTGAGGAGCCGGAAGCTCCTGGAGGTTTTGAGTTGCCATGCTGGTGATGGTGCAGTCGTTCAGCTTGTGGGAGAGGCTGGCAATCTCAAGGCAAGGAGGTTGCGGGGTCTGAAGTCAATGGAGGGGTATCAATCAGGTACGTCTTGACGTGTAATAAGGGGAAGGCACGAAGGAAGAAACTGGACTGGATGGTGTTGATGGCGAGAGATGTGATGGATTTACTACGAGAGGCATCATTGAAGGAGATGAGACAGTTGCTTTATATCTGGAATCGGCGGATGGCAGTAGCTCACCGATTGCTCTTGCCAAGCAGCCACCTGCCGAAAGTCACCCCAGGTCGTGCATGAAGCTGTCAACGGTGGCTCAACGAACTGACGCTGCATTTGGCGTAGATTAGCGGAGGCGTCGACAACGCGGGGCTACCAGTCGCGCTACAGGGGGTGTGCTGCCTAAACGCTGCAGGGTCCAGAGACGCGAAGTCACAGGATCAGGCGACTGCTGCCTTGTCGTGTCGTTCGAGCTGCATCAATTGAGCATCTTGGCCCGATATTTTTGGACGTTGCAGCCTACGAGCAGTCTCCATGCGCGTCTCGACGCGTCTCGACAGGTCGTCGGCGCTCCGTGGTGGCCGATGATCGTGGGTTGGGATGATCGTTGTTCAAGGTGTGGTGCTTTGTCCAGCCCAGGCAGAATCACGCCCTGGACCCCTGAGCTAGAGCCAGCCACCAGGCAGAATCCGTCTCCACTCATACTTCGTCTGCTCATCAGCTCGGATTCAACCGTCGGCCCTCTGTCAGTCACTCGGTTGTCGTGATCACTATCTCCAGCATTGCATCACTCTTGGAAAAGAAAACTAGCATTTCTCTGGCTAATAGCTCATCAATGAGCCCCTTGGTATCAATACAAAGAGCGTGGAGTCCATATTCCATATCCCCTCTCGCCTGTCCCCGATTCGAAAACCTATCCAGATCCATCAAAATCAATCGCATAGCATACATGAATTCACATCCTAGTACCGACCCTTGGCCCTGTCACATTCTTCCATAAAACGATAGATGCCTTCAAGACCGTCAAACTCTTGAGAACAGTGTGTTCCCGAACTCAAAGGAGGCGGCGACATGCTCTCATATCCCTCGGGATCTGAAAGCCATGGGTTCTCCGCCATCTCAGCGTCCACAAAGGCATCATCAAATGCCTCTGATAGACCCGATAGAGAGCGCAAAGTGCCGCCTGGAGACGTCATGGTCTTCTCTGATGCCTGGCTGTCGGGCGCGAAGGGGAACTTGAGCGCAACCTGGACGCCGCCGTTTGCGTCAAACTCTGGGTCTTGGTAGACAGCGCCACGCTGTAAACCAACGTCGTCGCAAAGTCGCTCTGCCGTCGCGGCATCCACGCCAGGGAACCGAACCCTGATAACGTTCGACTTCTCCAACGTCACAGGTAGATCCCCCAACATAGCCAGCCGTTTCAGATCGGCGAAAACTGCTGTCAGATCCTTTAGGGCGCGGCCAAAGTCCTCGGACAGGACATCGAGAAAACCGTCGCGGTTCAGCGTGACACCGTCCTCCGTGGCACCGGCGGGGAAGGGGAAGGCAGCAGCAAGCGGGCTCAGAGCCGTGACGGTGGGGCTCAGCTGGAAGTCCACAAAGGAGCCAGGCTCAAAGCGGGAGACCTTAGCCATCCTGCACCCAGCCTCGTGCTCGAGCGTCGAGACGGCCCTGTAGCGCTTGTCGCCGCGCTCGTTGAGGCCGTCGAACCGTGCCTTCTGTCCTGAGAGGAAGAAGGCGCGCATAGCGACGCCGACGTTCTGGACCACTTGCGCCGGAGCGGCCGGCGTGTGTGAGAAGTAGCGCGCGCCTCCACCGGTGCTGTAGCCGCCTTGCGTACGGCAGAGTGTGCCGCCGGTCAGGTTCGGGCGAAGTGTGCTGGCGAAAGGGGCGCGGCCGGTACCCTGAGGCACGCGGCGGGATGTATTCGATGTGGGGAATTTGGCCCGGTCGAAGCGGGGACCAGCGGATGCGGTGTTACCAGAGGACATCCATCGGCGGGCGGCATTTTGAACATGCTGGTAAGCTTTGGTCGATGACCACCGTGCCGAACGTCGCTGGCGGAGAAGGGCAGCTGGGTGGATGGGATGTCTTCCCGTAGAGACGGCGGATCGTATGGGAGTGGGTTGGAGCTTTGGTGCATTGGGAAACGTGTGCCGAATCGCCTTGGAGGCGTTTGCGGCGGCCGAACGGAGCAAGCGCATGGCTACTGGAGCCCATACACCCCCCGAGGCAGCCATGATGAAGTCTCAGGTCGGGATCGAGTCGGGATGCTCGACAGCTTGTGACAGCAGCCTGGGGAGGGAGGAGGAGCGGATGAGGAAGTGGCGGATGACCTCGGGTTGTTATATGACTGGCGATAAGATAATCATTCGCCACTTGTTGATCTTGACGCACCGCCACATCTCGCTGCCATTGCGGGGTCTCGGGCTAGTCCCAAGGAAGACTAGCGCCAACCAGAAAGACCTTGAAAACGCGAGGCCGAAAAAATTCCCAAGCTTCCGACTTCTTTCTTTGCCCATCACCAGCAAAATCGTCAAGGTCCAGCGACCTGTGACGTTTGCCCATTGCGCTGCCAGCGCGCATGCAATGGGTAATGATGTTTACTAGATCTGTCGATTCTACTTACATTCAGCTCGGTGTGACTGTATTTCTTCAAAAGGTTTGTCTCTGATTCGCGATTTTCTTTCCTTCCTTCCCACCCCCACGCTCTATATGATGAACACGACAGACACCACAGGGATTCCTCATGCAGAACAAACTATGTTGATTCCGGTGCAATAGTTTCAGCCTTGTCTGACCTATGAGCCAAAGCTTTTCTTCGCTGCAGGATTTTTTCTGTCTTGACCTCAGGCTAACTCACTATTCTTAGGTAAACATAATCAATCACTACTCTCTCTCACGCGCGCTCCCGTCGACTGCCACACAATATGAGGAATCTTTGAACGACAGGCGGACAAAATGATGCCTCGTCGGCCGTCCATTAGCAGCAGCGAGGACTTACAAACCTTGTGGTGGGCGGTCTGGCGGGGTTTCTTGTTGAAAACTCGTCAGCTGATTGTGATGCTGCTTCGCGCATTGATGCTGGTTTACATGTCGTACTGAGACGGAGGGCTGACATGGACAACCAGGTAAATTACATACTTTGGATCTCTTCGTTCTGTCGTTAGACAACGCTCTCTACAATGATGAAACGTCTTTTTATTGTATTCACACTGTTTGATCGACTTTGCTTCGGCGTCGTCGAGATGAACAAAGTTAACACTTGCTGATCTTTGAGGTATTTGACGTTGTTCCTCTCCAGCGTGACCATGTGCTGACAATCGACCTAGCTTTTTTGGACCTTTTTCGTACTGAATGTTCGCGATCGAGAGCCCTTGCTGACCGCAACGACTCAGGTATTCTTGCCGATACATCGCTGGAACTCGTAGCTGTGGTTTTCTTGTAGGTTTCCTCCACTTTGCTTCCTTTAACAACCAACCTCGCCCACTTGAGGATGACATCCTTTTATTATCTTTCTGAGTTCACCATGATTGATAAACTTCCTGTTCACCTTGGAGAACTGAATCATACTGGGCACAACACGTCATGTCATGATACTCTTCATCGAGATCGCAACTGACCATGTGCTCAACAGACAAGCAACAGCTCACGGACGGTGGCCAGAGCTTTTATGATGCCAAAATTCAATTCATATTTCCAAGAACCGCGCTGTTCCCATTTCCAATATTTCTCGTGAAACACGTAACCTTGCCGTGATGTACAGCGAGATATTCAACGCTCTACTTCTTCAGCTGCAACCTCGCGTTCCAGGCCACAATGCAGCGGATGAGATCCCAGTCGTCATGCGCGCCGACCCAGTCCGTGACGACAATGCCCGTAGCCGCCTCGCCGACCTTGAGCTTCTTGACGCCCTTGCCCTCGTCGCCGTGGCGCATGCAGAGGTACTCGACGACGGCCGGGTTGACCTTGGCAGCGATGCGCTCGGGCCAGCACGTGGCGTTGAAGAAGTTGCTGGCGCTCAGGAAATTGACAAACAGCGGCGACACGGCGTCCTTGTCGTAGCCTTCGGCGCCGGGGGCGCGGAACAGGGCCTCGGCGGCGCGCTCGAGCTGGGCGTGGCTGTAGCTGATCTTCTTCTCAATGTTGGTGCTCTGGTCGACCTCGTAAAAGTCCTGCACGCGCACGAAGCCGCCGCCGCCCGTCTTGCCGTCCTCGCAGTTGTCGGGCCAGTGGGCGGCGTCGATGCCGATGCCCTTGCCGTCGTTTTCCGACTTGTTGACGCTGTCGTCGCAGTGGAAGCGGCGCATGAGGACGATCTTGCCGCGGGCGTCGCCGAGGACGGGGATCTGCGGCTTCGTGTACCAGCGGTTGGAGTTCTTCTTGATGTAGCGGTCGCGCAGGTAGCGGGACATGTCGTGGTCCGAGCCCTTGCCGGTGCCCTCGCGCTTGATGGACATGATGAGCGTCTCGGAGGGGTTGCGCTCGAGGAAGGCGTAGACCTCGGTGAGTAGGTCGGCGAACCACTTGGTGCCGGTCAGAGAGATGGGGAAGACCGAGTGGACGAGGGCGAGGTTGTCGTTGTCGGGGGTGGCCGAGACGCGGATGTCGAAGAAGCGCACGCCGTTCTCGAGCTGCTCGGTGATGCCGACGGCCTGGCAGCGGACGGACGGGAGGGCCGTGTAGCAGGTGGGCGCATTATGGGTGCCGGGGATGGAGAGGAAGGGCAGAGGGTAGCTGTCCTTGAGCTCCTTCATCCAGGCGTGGAGGTTCGAGGATGACATGATGGCCAGGAACTGATGGCGCTCGATGTACACGGCCGTGAATTCGCGCTTGTCGTCCTTGGTCAGGCGCGTCATGACGACGGACCTGTCCGACTTGGAGGGTGTGTCGACCTCGTACCACTTGCCGTCGCACTCGAACAGCAGACGCACAACCTCCTTGTCCTCCTGCGGAGCTGGGAAGTCGGTGCCCTGGGCAGAAAAGGCATTGATCTTGATGTCGACATCCTTCTTCTCGCGCGCCTCACCTTCAGGGTGAATTTCAGTGGAATTGAAGCTTGTGGCGTTGAGGAGAGACGTAATATTGCCAATGGCGTTGCCGAGGGTGCTGCCCGTTGTGACCTGCTTGGCCCCAAAGCGCTCGACACGTTTGAGGGTCAAAGCCTGCACCGTCAGGTTGCGAATGGTGATGTTGGGCATCTTGAGTGCAGCGGTGATCCGTCAATGACACGACAGGTGGTGATGGTGGTAGCGGTGGCGGCGGTAAGGTGCTGGTGGAGGGGGAGGGGGAGGGGGTTGCACAGGTCAAGAAAAAGGAGGGGCAAGTCCACAGCTGAAGGATGAAGCTCCCTCAACTTTGTGAGGGGATTTCGGCGCAGGTTATCTGAGATCAGCAATTGGGTGGTTCACAAAATCCTCTCTGCGAAAGACCCTCTCTCCGCAGTCTTTTGGTTTCGCAGCTGGATCCTAGCAACCTCGGGCTTGGGGCGACGTCGGGCAGGCCGGGAGCAGTCAATCGATGACAGTGGAGGGGTCTGGGGACGGCAAGCTGATGAAGCTAAGGTACGTCAGTCCATGAGCTTGTGGAGCTCTCCAATGGCGATGGATGAGAGACGATGCCTTGGAGGGTTGGCGCCGGCGTGGCCCTGGCGCGGGGTGGTGTGCCTTTTACCTCCCATTGATTTGGGATGGCGACTGTAGGAATCGAATGGGATGTGATCTGCTCCTTGGTTCAGCTGCCAGAGTAGAGGCTGCCCCAATTGAGTCGATCGTGGCAGTGTACATGAGGGAATCGGAACGGGGACCCTGGAAGAGCTGAAGAACCCCCCCCTTAGCCGTGCCCCCCCTTTTCGCGAGGCCCGCAAGGACCGGTACGGTCCAGCCCTGCCAACAAGTGGCATGGGTTGCATCCAACATCTCTTGGTAGCGAAGAGCAAGCACGCACTTGCGTCGTCTTCCAGTTCAATCAAGTATGCCCACTCGTGGTACGTCAGCCTGTTACGACGGTGTGGGCGGGGACGACTTGGCTGTGATGTGCATGGAGCAAAGCCTCCTCCTTTACCAAGAAAGTCGGAAAACAAATGAATAGACAGACAGACGCCAGCCAGCCAGCCTGCAGGCGTCAGAGCAAAAAAGAACGAAATCCCTCTCCAGAAGAGCCAAAAAGACTAGGCGCCATCCGGGGATTGAACCCGGGACCTCTCGCAAGCTATGCTTCAGGGTGTGACCCTAAGCGAGAATCATACCACTAGACCAACGGCGCGTTTAGAACAAATTCCTAACTGAGTCAGGAGCCGGTCGATGGGAAACGGAGCAGAATTAGCCGTATATGTACTGTTTATAGCTGTCTGACGCAACTCCCCCTCGCCACGGAACCCCTCATCACAGATGAACGTGACCAAACGCTATATATTCGTGAACAGATGGAGAAGAGTGATTAACGGTACTCAAGATTGCCTGAATATGTCAGGCATGATTTCATTATCTTGTACTCTTTTGCTACCATTTCCTGAAATCAAACCTGGGGGCAAGGTCCGTTATCCGTTCGTTTCCCCTTCGACTTTCTGTCACAACATGACGAAACAGCAGCAGCAACTGGCTCTTATTATGAACTGCTCTTAAGTACAAAGAATGACTTTCCCCATATATCAAGCACACGCTGATACGATGTCTTTCGTGTAAAGATACTAATTGTCATATGCTCCTGTCTCAATTCTTTCCTTGACTTGACTTCACAGCGCCGACTGACCCTGGCTACGTGCCCTCTTCGAGGCAGGCAGCTGAGGCTCGCAATCCATCTCAGACGCGCTTCGACGTCGCGAGGGCGTTGCACTCCTGCTAGAGTCTTCCGAGCACCCGCCCGACCCCGTCGTCCTGTCTACGGCTGTGGCTGTCGAGCTGACGCTACCAGTGCGCTGCTTGAGGTAGGTTGCATGGCGGTTTCTGAGAACGTCCGCAATGATCGACTCTGTGCCGACAATATTGTGGGAGCCCTCGACCGTCATGCCGGCGTCGACCTCAATCTTGACAGGTCGAGGGCGGCCGTCCTGGTCGATCATCGGAATGCCGCCCTCCATGACGGTGCTGCTCTTGAAGGCGCGGACGATGGCTTCTGCGACAATGGCAGCCTGATCACTGGGGGTGCTGGGCAGGGCCACGAGGTTGTTATCTCGCGAGACGTTGACTCTCGTCGAGATGCGCAGGTTGATAGGGGACAGCTCCTCAAAGGGATCGTCGTCGGGATCAGGGGAGGTCAACATGGTGGCGGAAGGCAGGGGGGCGGCCAGCAGGCGGTGGCCTAGCTGGCGGAGACTGGCGTTTGGGTTGCTCATTAGGGTCGCTGCAATGCCTTCCTGAAGACGCGTGGGCATAGGGGGGCTATATGCGGGAGGAAGCTCCTGTCGGGCAGATGGAAGTACCCTCCTTTGGGGCTTCAGGCATTCTTTGCGGTCTCGTACAGCTCGACTGTGGGGCGAGATGACCCGGCATATGCCTTTGGGGCTGTTGAGGTGACAACAGCAGTACTTGTTGACGATGAGGTTGTTGTTGTTGCTACAAACTGCTGCTGTGACTGTTGAGGATTAAAAAAAAAACAGAGTCTTGGGGTGGAATGGCGGTGACCTGATGCTGGCCTGAGTTATCCATGAAGGGAAACATGCTCGACTTGTCGATGTTGAGAGTTGGAGTGAGGTCTTGGGACTTGAGTGAGGCCTTGATATCTCGTCGTGATGCTCAAGGTACAGAGCTCGCTACGCAGAAGACTGAACAGGGGGAACAAAATACGTCTAGCTTGTGAACATAGCCCGAGGATATGTGAGGGAAGGGGAGGGGTGCTATATATGTTCGTCAAGAGGTGGTAGGGCCCGCGTGTAAACTGGATGAGTATTGATCAGGTCACTCACTCGCTGCCTTCAAGCCCGAACAGTCAAGCAGATCCAATCTTTCGGCTAGCCGCCTGACTCAATCTTCAGCGACCTGGGTACAGGCAGTCATGCAGACAGGTAGCTGCCCGGGGTTGATTTTGGTGAGAGGGCGGGGGGGTGAGTGTACAAACATGCTCCGTTTGTAGGTACAGGTATTCTCAGGCGCTTTGGCGTTTCGAGGCTGTTCAGATTCACCCTTAGCAGCTCCCTTCGTATACTCCCTGCACCCCCGCCCACCCCACCCTCTCGTAGCTCTTCCAGGGTGCCATGCCACGCCACTGCCGAGCAGAACTCAAGCAAGAAAAAAACAAAAGAAGGAGAGCAAGAGCGGCTCACTGCACAAGGGCTGCTACAAGTGTGACGCTCTGACTGTCCTCGCACATCCCAACTTGAGATTATCGGACGATGAGATGGGCAAGGCAAAAGGAGCCTTCATACGCCACGGAAAAGTCGCCTTCTCCAAACAGCTCCAGCTGATATGCTACTCGTCAAGTGAGGTTCCCCCGGAACAAGTACACCAGGGCGTATTGTTCGTGTGTATGTTTTGGCTCCTATTCATGCAATTGTCCGGTGGGAAACCAACACCGTCTCCTGATCTGACCACTCCAGTACGTCAGGCCTTTCGAGTCAACAGGTCTGAATAGGTAGCATGGGGCGATCAGGTAGCCAAGATGACAACCCTGACTCCGCCGTGTCTCATACGGCAGCCATATTCCAAAGTCAATAACAGCCAGGCCAGCTCAAAGCTCATGTGTGAGAGATGACACGTCCTGCCCCGTCCGTTCGTTCCTTCAGGGCCCACAGACCACATGGCCTGTCCCGAGAATAATAGGAAGAAAGGACTCCGTGTCTGGTCTCAGGACAGTTCCTTCCGCATGGGAGATGAACAGGCCAGTATACCTTGCATAAGGTACCTACCTAGGTAGGTAAGGCAGGTACCGTACCAGGCAGCGGGCGGTGAACTCGAGATGCCTCTGCTTTTCAGCTTATTGGCAGGCAAAGCGGCCGGGCTCTCGACAAGCCACAGAGCCGCCGTTGGCCGCAATGGCGTTCTGTATCAGGACCCATTGTCCTCGGACAAGACTCCGGATGATGGGGCAAATGAGGCAGGAGAAGAAGAAGGGGTGTGTGGGACAGCTTCCTATTGTTGCTGGCAGCCACTTCCTATTGTTGTCGGGATCGGGGTGGGGTTCGAGCCTATTGTGCCCCAAATACGGCTTAGCAGGTGCGTTAGTGGGGGTCCATCCTGCCTTCGCGGCTCCGGCAGCAGGCACGGCTGGCGGGCGCGAGAACCAGTTCCCCGGTGTCTCACCCACAACCTCTCTGCCTCCACATTGACCACATCCCCCCTCCCTCGCCTCTGTTGCGTCACCAGGCAGCCGACAACGCATTTCGCACACTAATCCAAAATACCCGAAATACATGACCGTCATCCTTTTCACCGGTCTCTTCCCTGCTTCATTTTACTGATCACATTTAACCGCTTCTTACGCCTTGTGGCTCGACCTGACAATTGGACTCACGCCTCGAACGCCAACTCTGCACGCCATCACTATCGCCGCACCCTGAAGTCCAGACCGATTTGAAGACACTACAGACTGAGTCCGCGAGGATCCGCATGATCCAAAATGGCCTTGGCCTGAGATGGTGCACGAGCGACCCACGTTATACGTCTAGGCCGTGGTGAACCCGTAATTTGATCGTACCAAGACAAACCGTGTTGTGAGAACTAGGCACCATTCACGCAGACATCGGCAGATGGTTCCTCTTACGATTACCTAGGTACCGTTGAACGGAGTATGTCCAGCAGCTACTGCAAACGTGCTCATGAGCACCATAAGCCCCCACCCTAAAAGATCCTATTCATCTCATTCACTCATCGATGCCAGCCATCATTCAAGTGAATGCTCAAACTCCAAGCCCACCAACCAGGAGCAACAACAGAATTCCACTGCGAGTCTGTGGCTCCCCATCGGTCCGATATTGACGCACCCAGCAGCCTTTTTTGCTTCTTTTGCTTTTGCTACGAGGTGGCCCCAAACACGCGTCTACATGCTGACAGCCTGAAGGCAGAGACCTACAATGGCTTGCCGCTCGCTTGTCTTCTCTATTGTTTTTTTCTCTTCCGATCGTCAGAAAGCTTGACGTGGCATGTATGCTTGACATGTCACTCCCCGGCGGCCAACCGACTCGACAAAATCTTGCCATGCCTAAAGATCAAGCTTGGTCCCTCCACAAATTTAGCTTGGCACGCATGGTTTTTGGCGACGAAGCTAACGAGCTCGATGTCCGATTCAGGATCAGCTTCGATCGAAAGCTAGACGCTCACCCTCACGCCCCCGTCCCAGAACCATCACATCGGTACGAGTCCGTCTTTCACGGATTCGCGCTGTTTTAGCTCGTGAGCTGCGAAGGTGTGTGACTTGCCCGGTTGTGGCTGTTACCTTAAGTTTCTCGTTGGAAATTGGCGAGGCGCGTCACAGCCGCACGACACCCTACTGACCCCATTTTCTGGACCGGTCCCGCGATGGAAGGCTCCGGAGTCTCGGTAGTTTCTCTGATCACACGTCTTTCACTGCTTGTATGGATAGCCTCGTCAAGCCATGAACTAGTATACCCTTTGTTAGGGCAGGTCTAAACCAGTGGTGACTTTCCAAAGCCCTCGGAAACCAAACTATACCTGGAAGGGATGCACATGAACGTCTCGGGCGCCGCCGTGTCATGTCGCAGACCATTTACGAATTGACCGCATCGAGTCCAGCGCTATCGCGATCCAGGACTCAAGACAGCCACGAAATCGACACAGGCCGAAAGCTGAGCTTTCGGCCGAGTCTGGATTCGTGAGTTTCTGCACTGAAAACGGCACAACCTCCCCTTCATTGTCTTGAAATGGTGTCTCGCTACGCCACAGTCCTGCAACACCATCATCACGCTGGCATTGGTATCTCCGCGCTGAGCACGAGCGGGCTACCGATGCCACTTCGTTCTTCCCGCAGCCGCCTGATGTGGTTACACACGCCTCGCTGCGCCTCGCTGAGCATCCTCAAAGGTCGCTTAGACCGGGACAAAAATGTTTAGCCCTTCGTAAGAACACCAATTCGGGAATGCATCGCGCTGCATGCAGCGATGATATCTAGCATGGCAGAGCTTGGCAATGTTGTTTCGACGCCCACGCCCGTTTTTGCATGACCAGCTGAGGCCCACACCCAGATCGCTCGCTTGAGACACGTCTGAGAGCCACATGAGAGAGACTCCTACATGCAGACGCCAAACGCCCGGCCGATACGCGGATGCAGCGGAGATCAAAGGTTTTCTTGCCGTTCATCTGGACAAAGCATAGTTCACTCTTCTCAGCGTTATTCTCAGCGTTAAGCTTGTCCGTTCAATTGCCCGAATCATCGGCCTCGGCTTGATCCAGGGCTACTTTCTGGTCAAGAAGAAGAGGGGCTGTCATTTTTAGCAGACAGCAAAGCTCGAGTTGTGAAGATAGAGTATAGATACTAAGCGATGTGACAAACGATGCCCTGCTATTTGTTCACTTGGGGACTTGGCAAGGTGGGAGACACCCCCCCGATCGAACAGCCTGATAACACATTTTCACCCGCAGGTATACAACCACCCACCCCGGTCTGTATCCAGGCGAGTGCGAGAGCCGTTCTTCTTACATGCCGTCTTCTAGTTGCAATGGTTGTGGCTGGGGCAATGAATCATCGAGTCCCTCACCGGCCTCGTTTTTCGTTTTCTCGAGGGGGCGACCCTCGGAGATGTCTCGTCGATCGAGCTTCAGCCATGCGTCTCGCTATCGCGGCACACGCAGCCAAGACAAGGGGCTGGCTCCGTTGCATCGATCACAAGTCCGAAGAGGCTGGAGCGTTTCAAGCGACTCGGCCGATAGCGAAAACCTATGCTGCGAACGTTGGGGTTTGGCATCGCCCTCTTTCAGCGTCGAAACATCAACGGGGCCCGGCGATTGCTGCTTTGTTCGTTATTCGAGGCTGGCCATGAATGGCGGTGCTGCTACTACGAGTTGGCTAGTTGGTTTCTGGTACGGTACGCTGAATGAGGCCATTGATGAAGGCGAGGGCAGGAGTTGGGCCATGTTTACGGATCCGTCTGCCATACAAAGAAGAGGGCATCACGGTCGTTAGGCCCAGCACCGTCTGTTCTCAAGTGCCGTGTATTGAAGACTGGAAGTGCCGCGCAGACCTGGGGCGGACGTCGTACTTCATGAAGAGGCTTCCGATGTTGATCTCGATCGCGCAACCACTGCAGTCTGCGCCTTTGTAACATCGGTGAACAATGGCGAGAATGGTCGCGAGGATCAGGTCGTGTTTCAGACGGATGGAGTCATCCATGAAGCAACCTCTCAGGATCATCGCGTCGAGGCCATTGTTCGTCACCTCACCCATCCACTTCAACCTGGCCTTTCATTGAGCCGCAGTGTGCGCACGTTAGTCCTTGCCAGGTTTCATGTCTTGATGAGAAGGTTGGCGAGTAGGATTCTCAGGTCTGATGGATGTGTGGCTGGCTGCAATCCTGTCATCTGTTGTGAGCCCGAGGCGTACACGGATGACTGGGCTTACAGCCTGCATTGTGACACGGTGTCAATAGGAGTAGGGGCCTCACAACACCACCCGACAAGGTCTATTTACAATCAAGGCGAGACATGAATGGCGGATCAAAAACATGCGACAAGGGCGATGGAATAGCCAACTGTTCTCTATTGAAAAGCAACGACTATTCGTCTTGGATCACCGCATAGCGGTGTCTGCGCAGTCCGCGCTTCCCGCTCCCACACCGCCCGCACTCGGCCAACATCGTCCAAAAGGACGGCCCCCCCAGTCCGCACACAAAAATGTCGGCCAGATAACCAGGAAAGAAAAGAGGTTGAAGTTCTTTTATCTCCAGCTAACGCCGATGTAAATGCCCGTCTTGTGTAAATCCCGATCGAACAATGCGAAGGGGGTATCATGCCGAATGGAGCTCGCAATCCGGAGCCCGTGTCACGTCTTCTTGTTGTTTTCTGAGGAACCGACACGCGCTGGGACTCGCTCCTGTATGTCTTTGTTGAAAGACGCCACCGCTCCAAAGGTCTTTCCCATGACCAGCCCTGCAGCAACTTTTATCGCCCACCGCTCAAGAGGAGGAAGTAGAGAAAAGAGACCTGAGTTTGAAAAAAGAAGAAGGACGCCGAAGCTTGCATTATGGTTGTTTGTATGAGAGTGTATCGTAAGCCTTACCCGTTTAAGGCTAAAATCCGGGATTCGTTGAGAACCGTACGCCATGTTTGTGTGACTGCCTGCCCACGTCATAGTTGAGAAAAAAGCATGAAAACGTCTATTCATAGCAATGCAGAGAGCTTGTTGAACGCTCTCTGGGGTATCGTTGGGGCAAAAAGAATCTCGGTCGAAACCGCTTAGAACTTGAGCTGCTTAGGCTGCTCCCAGGTGAAGGTCTGGTTGGTGCCGAAGTGACCGTTCTTGGCGGTCTGGTTGTAGATGGGGCGGTCAAGGTTGAGCTCACGGACAATGACACCAGGGCGCAGGTCGAAGTTCTGGTTGATGATCTCGACGAGCTCGTCGGAGGTCCTGTCGGAAGTGCCGTAGGTGTCGACGTAGATGGAGAGGGGCTCGGCGACACCAATGGCGTAGGAGAGCTGGACAAGAACACGACGGGCGAGTCCGGCGTTGACGAGAGACTTGGCGATCCAGCGGCCAACGTAGGCAGCGGAACGGTCGACCTTGGAGTAGTCCTTTCCGGAGAAAGCACCACCACCGTGGGCACCCCAGCCACCGTAGGTGTCGACAATGATCTTGCGACCGGTCAGACCGGCGTCACCCTGAGGGCCACCGATGATGAAGAGGCCAGAGGGTTGGATCTGAGGTTGCTGTTAGTTTCTGTTCCTGGATGGCTCGGACTAGGTCAACGGTACTCACGTGGTAGATGGTCTCGTCGTTGAGGTACTTGGCGGGGATGACCTTCTTGATGATCTTCTCGAGGATCTCCTTGCGGAGCTGCTCAGTGGTGATGTCCTCGCTGTGCTGGGCAGAGACGACGACGGTGTGGACGCGCTGGGGGATGACGGCACCCTTGTCGTGCTTGTACTCGATGGTGACCTGGGTCTTGGTGTCGGGGCGGAGCCAAGGCAGAGAGCCGTCGCGGCGGGCAGCGGACATGGCAGCATTCAGCTGGTGGGCAAAGAGGAGGGTCAGGGGGAAGAGCTCGGGGGTCTCGTCGGTGGCGTAGCCGAACATGATACCCTGATCACCGGCACCGAGCTGCTCGAGAGCCTTCTCGTAGTGGAGACCCTGGGCGATATCAGGAGACTGCTCCTCAATGGCGACGAGCAGGTTGCAGGTCTTGTAGTCGAAACCCTTGGAGGAGTCATCGTAGCCGATGTCCTTGATGGCGTTGCGGACGACCTTCTGGTAGTCGAGCTTGGCCTTGGTGGTGATCTCGCCAAAGACCATGATCATACCGGTCTTGGTGGCCGTCTCGCAAGCGACCTTGGAGAGGGGGTCCTCAGCCAGGCAGGCATCGAGAATGGCGTCGGAAACCTGATCGGCGATCTTGTCGGGGTGGCCCTCGCCAACAGACTCGGACTGCGGAATCGGTCAGTACGATTGTCCTCTTACGGCATGTCACGGCGTGAACAAGCCAAGCGGGGCGCGCAGCGAGGAAAAAAAATCGCGACTCAACTCCGAAGAGCGACAAGGGGGAGGGATTGGAATACTCACGGTGAACAGGAAAGTTCCCTCGTTGTGCTTGAAGCCGTTGACACCGTTGCCAGTCGTCATTGTGAAGGGTGTATGTGTGTGTGTGAGAGAGAGAACCCTGACGAGGTAGGAAAGACCCGGTGAGAGGTGAGGGGAAAAGAAGAGGGATTTGAGGTGGCTTGTGAGGGGCAGGTTAGACACAGTTTTTCTGACGGAGGAGGGAAGAGGGCGGGCGGATAAGGGGAACAGGCAGCACGAGCAAGATGAGGCCGGGGCGGGGCAGCGCAGGCGCAGGCAGGCAAGGGGGGAAAACACGTACCGAAAAAGGTTGATGATGATGAGGGGGACGGTAGGACAAGAAGTTGCGGGGGGAGAGAAGGGGGGGACCCTTGAGTTTTAAAAGACGGCCCAAACCGGTTGGGGGAGGGGGACGGTCAAGACAGCCAGGGGGAGGGCAGAGGCAGGACGCAGAGGCAGGCGCCAGGGGAGAATTTCTTCAGATCGGGTCGAGTCGAGCTCGGGCAAAGCTGGCACGTTTTTTGGCGCAATTCAAGGAGGGGTACCTGTATGGGGGCCGCCGGGCATCGGACCGTAGTAAAAGGTACCTTCTCATTCACCACATGTGACACTTGGGGGAAGTAGTCACTAACAGTGCCCCTCCAATGACATGTCCCCACCCCAATCCTCACCAACGGCCGCCCCAAATTGCGCCATTGCTACCCGTGCTTGTCCTCTGCTTGTACCGCCTCTGGCGGGCTGCTAGCCCCCTTCGACCTGACTCACCGCCTTCCGTGAATGGCACCCTCAGTTGTCGCAAGTGCGAAGAGTGCGGGGCATCTTAATCGCGGCAAATCAGTTTTTTTTTTTTTCTTTTAGACGTGATCGCATACTGATGCCGCCCGTCAGCGTTGTAATTCAGCATCCCCCGTCGTAAGCCGATTGTCCCCAGGCTTCTGGTGCCCCGAGTCGGTTCCGATTGATCGCAACATAACGCCTTGGTTCTTGACCGCGCTGCTGTCGAAACCTGTCTTGACTCACCTACCTGGCAGAACGCTCTGACCCCTGTCCACTCAACAACTGCTCTGACGTTCCTGGTCCTGTACCTAGGTACCTATGGCGGGGTAACTTGTGACTGCAAAGCTAAACCACCTTTTGGCTCATCATCCCACCGTATTTCCTTTTCCTGACGTAGCGAAACTTTGCACAGTCTCAACACCACAACCCACCAGGTCTTGGCTCTATCCCTTCTCAATCACGTCCACGCTGTCTCTCGTCCCCCGCCATCATGAGCAAGTTTGGTGTCATGGTCATGGGGCCGGCCGGCGCCGGCAAGGTGCGTGTTTCAATCGCCTCCTCGTCACCCTTGACTTGGACTGCCTTGCTGACCCTGTCCAGTCCACATTCTGCGCATCCCTGATCACGAATCTGAACCTGAACCGTCGCTCCGCCTTTTATGTTAACCTGGATCCCGCCGCCGAATCTTTCGAGCACGAGCCCGATCTCGACATCAAGGATCTCATCTCCCTGAAGGACGCCATGGAAGAGGTCGGCCTCGGCCCCAACGGCGGCCTCATCTACTGCTTCGAGTTCCTCATGGAGAACCTCGACTGGTTGACAGAGGCCCTCGACTCTCTGACCGAGGAGTACCTCATCATCATCGACATGCCTGGTCAGATCGAGCTCTACACTCACATCCCGATACTTCCGGCCCTGGCCCGCTTCCTCGGTCAGACTGGGTCACTCGATATTCGCCTGTGCGCCGCCTACCTGCTCGAAGCCACCTTCGTCGTCGACCGCGCCAAGTTCTTTGCCGGAACCCTCAGCGCCATGTCCGCCATGATCATGCTCGAGATCCCGCACATCAACATCCTGTCCAAGATGGACCTCGTCAAGGACCAGGTCCGCAAGAAGGACCTCAAGCGGTTCCTGACGCCCGACACGACGCTGCTCGAGGATGACCCACAAGGCATCGGTCGCGAGGCGCGGCCCGTGGATGACGACGAGACGGGCGACCCGCAGGACCGCGACCTGATCATGCGGGGCACCAGCTTCAACAGGCTCAACAGGGCTGTCGCGGGGCTGATTGAGAACTTCAGCATGGTCAACTATCTGAAGTTGGACTCGTCCGACGAAGACAGCGTGACGTCGATCCTCAGCTACATTGACGACATTATTCAATACCACGAGGCGCAGGAGCCCAAGGAGATGAAGGACGAGGAATTCGAGGAGCCGCAGGACGATTAGACCGGGAACAACTGTTGTATGGCAGGTCCTAGGCTTCAGGACACAAAAGTGAGACGGAAAGGCACGGTCTTGATTTTAGGGAAGTATCTGCATAGCGATGGCGTCGGGGTACCATGTGTCGTTCGATATGCGCAAAATGGACGGTGGAATGCCACCAATTTGATTCATCATCCTCGCTGTCTTTACATGATCTCGTTGCTACCAATGGTGCGCCGTCCTGGCTATTGGGGACCAACTCTGCTTTCGAAATGCACTCCCGCCGGTCTCGTGTCGTGCGTCAAACCCGATATCCTATGCCCGTACCGTATACAACCAGATACCATCCTGGCATCCCCCCCCGCCAAAAAAAAAAAAAAAAAAAGACAGAGCTGTACCGAGCCGTGCCGTCAATCATCCATGTTCGCCCGTATCCAGCATCGTCCTTTCTCTTCCTCGTGTTCCAACCCGCCCCTCTCAGCGTCTCCCCTGCACCCGCGCCTCCTCCTCATACCTCCGCAGCTCCCCGACCCAAACATCCTTCGCCACAGCCAAGAAGCCCATGATCTTGCCCCCGACGACAACAGCATCCTTGACCGTCTCGAACACGCCGTTCCGCACGACGGCCGAGCCCACGGCGACGACGGCCGCCCAGAACACCAGCCGGAACACCATGCGCGTCGCGAACAGCATGAGGCGCCGGATCCAGCCGAGGACGATCCACGCGGCGGCGAGCAGCGCGACAAACGCGGCGAGGGAGGCGAGGCCCGGCGACGCCGTCAGGAGGGCGAGCGCCTGGTCGATCAAGGGCGCCAGGAAAACGTAGGCGATGTTGAGGGCCTGCTGGAGCTTGATGGCGGTGTGGCGCTTGAAGATCTGGACGGGCGAGTGCGGGTGGAAGGCGGTCGTGTGGAGAAAGTCGAGCGTCTCGGGGGAGAGGAGGCCTTCGAGGAGGGTTAGTGGGGAGTCGTTTTCTGGAGGCGCCATCTTGGCGGGTTTGTGGTGATGGCTCTTTTTGGGGGTGGGGGATTGCTCGGAGGGTGTGCGGGTGTGGGAGTGTCGCTGACTAGTCGACAAGAGAAGATGTTTCGTTTCGTGGGCAAAAAGTCGTGATCTTCTGGATCGAGCCGCGAGTTGTTGCAAAGGGGTATCTTGTAGAGTATTGTGCAGGAGCGGTGTTGATGGAGAGACAGGTGGCCTCGGGAAGAAGCTCTCATGACTTTTGTGGCGATAAGCTGTCCGATAAGAAATGACAGCTCATCAAGTGCCCCGCTGGCAGCGACAGCAACAACAAAAGGTTCATGTGCAAGACACAGGGCACAAAGACGAAGCCGGAACAATCAGTGAAAATAGTAAAATAGGTACTCACCAGAGCTGGCCAGCTCATCGTGGAGTCGGTAATCAGTTAGATCCATTTTCGAAGTGCAGACGTAGTCTCCAGAAGACGATGCCGTGTATCGTCCCAGATGGCCAAACAGTACAAGACGCAGCACCCAGCAAGAAACAAAGCTCAAAGTAAAAGGTTCAGAAACACGCCAACGGCTTCACAAGCAAGGAAGCATGGAATCGCAAGTCAACACCACATGCCATTTCAAGACCACGGCCCTGCTCGCCCTTTCAATAATCTACAACCACCGCGCAGTGAAACCCCTCTCCACCCGGCACGGGGTCCGCCCGCCGGAGCGCAGGCCCGCGACGCCACTGTGCGCGTCCGGTACCGCAATCCGCACAGTGTCACAGCCGTCAGTAGGTGCTCTCCCGCGGTTCTGCCAGGCGCAAGCGGGGACTGATCGGCGGACAAGGCAGTTCTGAGGTTACCGGTCGATGTTGGTGATACTGGGCACTGTGGGCTCGGGCCGAGGCCGTACGTTCTCTTCGATGGGTATCGCATTGATCCCTAGGCCTCTGGAGTACCTTAAGTGGTGATGTTCCGAATTCCGTGGCAGTTAACACCGTCTTCCAATCCGGTCCTTCATACGACACAGCGTGGAGCTTCCCCCGGGAGGAACTCTCCAGTCCAACCTTCTCTGGCACTTGATTTCGACCATGTCTCGCATCCAAGATTGATAGTGAATGATGATCGTTGCAACCATGTGTCTATCATATGTAAAGTCTACACGTTGCCCGCCGCGTGGCGCCAACCCATCACCACCTCGAACCGTAATCCGTCAAGGACAAGTTAACAGGCATTGAATGCCACCAGCGATGGCAAGCGAGCTTGCTCACGCGCAAGGTTGAAGAAAAAATGAGGAAAAAAAAAGTAAAAAATGAAAGCATTTGTCCGACTCATCGGGACAAGAGTTTGGGTATTGAAAGTCGTCGAGCGGCTGGCCGGCCTCCTGTCGGCCCTTGCTCCGTCTTCGTGCCTTTCCTTCTGTCGCGGCAGGTTCATTTGACATTATCAGTGATTCCATCAGAGGACGCCTTGTGACAAAGAAAATCAGGGGCAGAACTGCCTCCCGTATCGTAACACCAGCACCAAGCTGGCGCCTCAAATGGTGGTCTTACATGCTACCAAGAAGGAATTGGGTAGCTAGCACCTGGGTGCTCTTTATATCGACTCCAAGCCCTCGAGGAGCTTTCTCGCCGCATCAATGCGTCGCCTGTACATGCGGCTCTCCGTCGACGCCCTGCCCGACTCGCTGAGCCCAAGGACACATTTGCCAAGGCTGGCCACAAGTCGCTCAACAAGAATCTGATCTTCCTTGGCCAGCTGTTGTATAGCAGCATTGTCCCCTGCCTCGCCATCCTTTCCGCAGATGCTTGCCGTGTCGTTCATCAAGCTCTCAGACACACTCTTCAGCGCCGGGTCGGGCGATCCTTGCGGAGACACCTGGGGCGTGGGCACGCCGTTACAGGTCCGTCTGTTGACCAAGGGAAAGCTGCGCTGTGTTGCAGGTGAGTCGAGAGAGGAGATTGAAGGTCGGCTTCTCGAGGCTGCAGGTCGGTTCAGGGGTCGCGAATAGATAACGGAGCTGGCGCGCTGGCGCATCGGCCCCGATGATGTTTGCACACTGAAAGAGCTGTCTTCGCTGATGCCCGGTCCAAACGATGCCCGTGTAGCTGTCAAGGGGCTCTCGATTCGTACATCGGTCGTCCTAGCCACAGCGAATTGGGGCTCGTCTTCTCCGTCGCTATTCTTCCTGCTGGATTGGCCTTCGGTGGCGGTTGCAAACGAGTCCATCGTAGACATGGTGTCGCCGCTGCCTCTGCGGCGCAGTGTTGCTTCAACTTGATCCGCGTTTGAGGTGCTCGGGCCGCGCGTCGTCTCAACCGAATCCTCGGAGCTGAAGCTACTGCTGCTACCTCTCCGCTTCATGCGCTTCTGACTGAACGATCCCATGGCGCTGTGTAGGAAGAAATGCTCGTAATCGAAAGCATCCTCTCGGTCTTCGTGAGACACGGCTGTCTGCGGCGCATCGTGGTATAGAGATTCTCCACTTTCGCTGTCCCAGTCGCCAAAGGTTCCCTCTTCAGCGTCTTCGAACCCGTCCTCTGTCTGCATGTCATCAACATCGTCTTCGTACTCCTCCTGCCCGTCCGAGTCGGTTTGGAGTCGATCCTCTGCGCGAAGGGCTTCTTGTGCCGCCACGTAATCACTAATCACCGATTCAACGTCGTCTTGCTCATCCAGAGCCGGAGTCGGAGC